CGCTCCCGGCCGGGTCCGTTAGCCGGCACCCCTGGGCGAGAGACATATAGCATTGCGCTAGGAAAAGTCGACACGCCCCTGTGAAAATTCCAGCCTCCCTGGCCGCCGCGTCGCCGTTTTCCTGCCAGCGGGGCTCAATTAAGAACACCCACCTGACCCTTCATAGATGACACGGTGCTCCCAATTGGTTGCGCGGCGAGGGGGCTCGCACAGGTTTTGCACCCGGTCATAATCGCCGAAAGACAGGCGATGGATGCTGTTCCTCATCTGAACTATTTATTGATTTATTTTTGTTCACTTCAAAACAAGCGTTGCCGTTCAGGTGTGTGAAATCACGCCACATTTCAAGTCAAGCGCGGGGGGGTCTATTGGGCAGGAAGTGGCAATTGTAGAAGTGTGTGTGTGTGTGTTGGGGTGGGAAAATGAATGTCAGTGCGCGTGCGTGGCCTCACCTTTGACATCTTCATCTTCCACAGTCGTGTTGCTGCTGTCTGATGATTCCTGCGGATCACACACACGCGCGCAGCGGACTTTTAGGACGGAAGCATTCCACATGCCGTACACTGATGGTGTGTGAAATCACGCCACGTTTCAAGTCAAGCGCACGCCTGCACCGAATCACCGCTCGGGAATCGAGCATCCGCTTCGAGTGAGTCGCAGCAGGCTCAACTCTTGGAGGCCGTGAGAAGAGCGTTTGGCGCCACTCGCTTTCACCCGTCGCTTATTTAGCTGCGCTGCCACAGCTGTGTCGCATGCGTGGCAATGTGTGAGTGTGCATGGGGAGTGTGGGGAGGTGTGATTCTGCGGGGAGGGGGGGTCTATTGGGCAGGAAGTGGCAATTGTAGAAGTGTGTGTGTGTTGGGGTGGGAAAATGAATGTGAGTGCGCGTGCGTGGCCTCACCTTTGACATCTTCATCTTCCACGGTCGTGTTGCTGCTGTCTGATGATTCCTGCAGATCACACACACACACGCGCAGCGGACTTTTAGGATGGAACCCTTCGCATGCCGTACACGGACGCACGCACGCATGCGGTGTCATGGCAACACAGATGCGGTTTTGCGGGGTAGTTGCCCGACACCGCTGTTGGCTTTGCGCCGTCATCTACACAAACTCAGCTCGACAAGTAGTGCCGTCGCCAGGGAAGAAGTCGGTCGGCACGGCAGACGCAAACTCAATGCGGTCGCGATTGCGCGCCGCAAAGGAACACGGCTGGACAGATGGAAAAGCGGGAGTGGCCGACAGCCGACCGCGTCGACTTTGTCGCACGGGCACAAATGAGGCAAGCCTAATTTTCTGAGGCTCCTGGAAGGGGGTGAGAGAGAGCCAAGGAGCAAGGTGGGGAGGGGGGGGGGGGCAGAAGAAGATGGAAGATGTGAGAAGGGCGGAAAAAAAGGGGTGGAGCAAAACAACGACAACAACAAGAACAACCAGGAAGTAGAAGAGAAACAGAAAAGGATGTTAGTGGAAAGAAGGAGAATCCATCAAAGTGATCGGCGGAAACGTGTCCACGCGCGCACACGCACACACTCGGGTGAAGCCATTTTTAGGAGAAGACTTTTCAGAAAGGATGCGGACCCGGCTGGGCTCCCGGCGCAACAACAACGCCGCGCTCAAAGAGGCCACCGAGTCGAGTCTGCGGGAAGCTGCGAGGGCTCACGCGACCCCCCCCACCCCCAACAGGGGAAAAACTTCCCTGGGATCCCTTCCCCCGGACAAGCCATCAACAGGCACTTTGCTTTTGCACCTTTGCGAGCATTGCGTGTCAGGCATTTATTTCAGCCAGTTAGCGTTGGAGTTTCAGGCAAGATTTCGACCCCCAAAAGCCAAACGTGTGTCTGCCGCAACCCGCGGCCGCCCGCGCCTGCCGCCCGCCCTTGCCAGTGCCTGAGCTGAACGACGACGCCCGCTGCAGAGTGTGGGCCACACAAAAGGAATAGAAAGAAGCAGCCAGGCAAAACGGGGAAAACTCAACACACACACACACACACACACATTGAAAGGCACAGGCATAGGGAGCGGGGGGTGTCCAAGAGGAGATACAGGTATTGGTTACGAGGGTAAATACCAGAGCGGGTGAAGGGATGTTTCCTTTGGGGCTGGTGACTATGCTGTTTTTGCAGTTTGTTTGAGGCTGTGCAAGGAGAGCAGAGGGAGGAAAGTTAACAAGCAAGGCGTGCGCGTGCCAGCGTGTGCGTGCCAGCGTGCGTGTGACATTTGCTCATGCCAAATGCGCTGTAAATAAACACATTTCCAAATGGGCCCCAATTTTGGGGCCTCAATTCAGCGGACTTGGTGCTACTCATTCAGTGGCGCACTGTGAGGTAAGGCCACTTGGGGGCAGTAGAGTGCAGACATAAGCCTAGCCCGGATACGGAGAGTCGCGAAGCTGAAGAGAAACCCCAAAAGACACCGTGCCACCCTGACGCCATACAACTCCAGTTAAGCTGCACAGCCCATGAGCGCACGCGTTTGATTTCCAAGGTGGGAGAAGAAAGCAACAGCAGTGGCGGGCGCGTGGCAAAAAGAAAGAAAGCGGCGGCAAAAGACGAGCGAGGTGGCGCCAAATCGCCTTCGCGGTCACAGAGGTCACATCGGGGTGCCGACGTGGCCCGAGCGACGCAGTTTAATTCCGGCCTCGAGGGCCTCAACCCGCACGAAAACTCCCCAATTGGATGAATTGTAGGTGACCGCAACGCGAGGCCTGGGGAACGCCGCCTTGAAAAGTTGGTTTCAAAAAGTAAATCATCCATCGATAACGGCTGAACCAACGGACTCCAAGACGGGCGCCCGAGTCGCAACGCAACACATGAAAAAGCCTCCAAGGCGGCCAATCAAACTTCCTGAGATCAGATTTGGATGAATGAACAAGGCGCCCCCGACACCGGACGAACGTCCCGACAGGTCGGAAGGACTCGTGCCTGCTACAGAAGAGCATTTTGGTTTGGGCAGCAATGGTGGCCTCGCTCGATCCCATTGGCCCAAATGAGCGTCCACTCGGCGATGCAGTTGGAGGAGACGAAATCTTTTAGGGATGACTTGGAAAGGAGACTTCATTTCGGCAAGGAAAGCAAAGATGGGAAAAAAAATGGAGCCCAAACAGCATGCTCACCATATACTGCACAGTTGAGCTGGACTTGCGTTTCTGTCCTCGGGCCAAACGACGGACGGATGGATCGATGGATAAAATTTGGGGGACCAATGGATGAGGAAAAAGCAGGGGGAGGGATGGAAATAGAAAGTAACCCATGAAATGGCAGCCAGAACAAAAAGAGCACTTTGAGAGACAGAATGAAAATGAAGCCGAAAAAAAAAACCAACAACCCCCCCCCGCCCCCCCTGACGTGTCAATACCAAATGAAAGCTTAAGTGCTGAAGTCGTGAAGTGGCCGTGTGAGGGGAAACAAAAGTTGCATGAAACATTCATGCTGCGAGTTGGGAACGACGACGCAAGGAAAGGAAAGAAAAGAAACGAAACGGAAGGACGGGAGCCTGAAAAGGAGCCTGTTGCTAGGCGACCATCGCATCTATTTTGGGCATCTGAGTTTCCAGGGTCCAGAACCGGCAGCTATTCCCGGCATTTGACACACGCACGCACGCATGCACGCACACGCACGCACAAACAGGCACATGCACACACATTTGGGTGGGG